GAGGTCTGCCAGCCTTGCCACCATCTCGGTCTTGTACTGGCACTTGAGTACAAACAGGATGCCCATGTCCATGGGCTGGTAGACAGAAGTGACGTTCGGAGGCAAGAATATGGTGACGATCTGCGGGTCGTTGCTTTTGATCTTGTGGCCGGGGCAGTCGTCTCACAAGAGGGCCACCTTCTTGGAGGTCTTGCCTTTGACGAAGGGGACAAAGACTTCGTCAAACCACCGCTGGCAAATGTCTGCGTCGAGCCAGGCACTCTCCTGGGCGAATTAGGGACATGGCGGTTTGCGGACGTGGCGGGAAACCATCGTTTTTTTCAACGTGCTGATGACGGCCAACGGCACCATCAGAGACCCGGTCGTATTGCAGCAGGCGACCACCGTGCACCGATCCTTGGCCTTCATGGCCTTCCAACTCTGCGCGGTGTCGCTGTTGACGCCGGCGGCGGTCTCCCCCCTCTTGACATATGTACCTCTCGGGAAGCAGCGGAAGAAAAGTCCCGTCTCGTCCATGTTCAAAATGAACTCGACGTCGAACTCCTGCAGCTGCGCACGAATCCTCTCGATCTCCTCTGCCACCTTCTGCTTGTCCACGTCGCCAGCTTGTCTGTGCAATTGGACGTGAGTGAAGCTGTAGCGTGTCAGGAAGCGATGTAGCCAGCCGTTGGTCGCCTTGAAGTTGGTCTTCCCCATCTGCGCCGCGATCTTCAAGGCCTGGGCCTGGATCATCGAACCACTCACGCCAATCCTGGTTGCCTGCGTCCGGAACGACACAAAAAAAACAGCAGCGACATGGTTTCGATCAACTCTCCCTTTAATTGGTTGTGCGTTCAGTCGACCAGCTTGAAACAGGTGGACTAGAGCTTGTCGAACCCCCAACCCAGCAGCGTGGTCGAGAGTGGAAGGAGGTGTAGGGGCGGAAGGATGCAGGCGTATAGACAACCAAGTNCGACATAAAAAATAAAACAGTAGCGACATGTTTTCGATCAACTCTCCCTTGAATTGGTTGTGCGTTCAGGCGGCCAGCTTGAAACAGATGGACTAGAGCTTGTCGAATCCCCAACCCAGCAGGTTGGTCGAGAGTCGGAGGAGGTGTAGGGGCGGAAGGGTGTAGGCGTATAGACAACCAAGTTGTATCCAGACCAACACATGACTAATGGAAAATATGTACTTACGTTAAAGCGTGCTCGTGCGATCTTGATCCACTTGCGTAGTTTCTCATCCACTTCGTCGTGTACCGGCTTCGGGGCGCGAAGGGCGTCCTGGTTGAGCTCCATGTCGCGGACTTTCTCAAGCTCGGCGATTTTCTCCGGGTTCATCAACTTGCTGATGTACGAAGTACCAACGTTCCACTTTGCAGCAACCATGCTCCTCTTAGCCCCCCCCTGGGCCTCATTGACAATCTGCAATCGCTGCGTCATCGAAAACTTGTTTTTGCCCGTGTTCCGTCCGGGCTTGGACANTCATGTTCCTCTTAGCCCCCCCCTGGACCTCCTTGACAATCTGCAATCGCTGCGTCATCGATAACTTGTTTTTGCCGGTGTCCCGTCCGGGCTTGGACACCGGGACTTGTTTGGCGACACTACCTCTGCCGTTCCCCGCGGCACCTCCGCCGCCCAGCCCCGCGGCACCTGCGCCGCCCCCCCCCGCGGTGCGTTGAGGCCGTTTCCCCTTCCTTGCAGTCTCTGACTCTTTGCCCCCAGCCGGTTGCCTCGTCCTGCGCGACAAACTTTGCAAGAGACGAGGGAATTGTGACATGTCAGGGCAGGTTGTTGGCAAATACACCCACGTGAGAAAAAATGCCATTGTGTCAAACACAACATGCGCTTATTTTCCGGAGAACGAGAGTGCTCGCACCTACCGCCGAGAGACTGCACGCAGGCCAGGAGCTACAATTTACCCTCAATAACAATAAGACATAGAATATCACGACTACGTCTATTTTGTATGTTGTTCAAGTGCGAACCCCAAACACCAGAGTCCTCTGAACGTACAAAAGTCACTTTTCATCAGCGTTGAACAACGTGCATCACTTCGGCAGCGCGGCATGCGAACTGCTTCAGGTGCAAGTTGCGTGCCAAAAGATGCACAGCAGTAGCGAGAGTCTTCACATGGTTTTTGACGCTCACTACAATTGCACACACACCGACATATATTGACGATCTTTTGTCATGACAAAGAAAAAAAAACACACACACACACACGCACTGACGTCTTCTAATTGGTCAGCCGGTTAGCGCGGTCGATGCTAATAATCAAAACACACACACGCAGCCTTGTGCGAACGATCTCAGTGAGTTTTCCTGGCATGCTGACACTGCTGCTGTTTGAAAAGACGTAGACGAAGGAAAGGATATGCAATGTACATGTAACATCGTGGTGCACGCTTTCCTGCTCAGCAGCTCAACAGCACGCGTTCGGCCGATGGCTGCTGCTGCTGCTGCTGCTGCTGCTGCTGCTGCTGCTGCTGCTGCTGCTGCTGCTGCTGCTGCTGCTGCTGCTGCGCACTGCTGTAAATCACAATCATCACCTGCTGCTGTTGTCCTCGTTGTCGCTACTGCTGTCCACCTCCATGGCACTTGTACCGGTGCCGATCTTGCCTATAGTCGTTATCCTCTGACAATCTGTGCACTCTCTCTGCTGCTCGAAGCCTTCCTCACCGATCCCTCGGCCACAGAAGCCATGTATCGGCCGCCCGCATGGGCACTGGTGGACTGCGGTGATCAGTAGAGATCTCATCGCACACGTTGCTTCTCCACATGTTTTTTTTTTTGGCGGCATTAGATGGACCGCCGGTAGATGGGAGGAATCTATCCATACCAACACCCAGTTACAGCTGCACAAGCAGACTGCTCGCTACTTGTGCTGTCTGTGCGTCGATACTTCTGCACTCACTGTGGTGCGTGGTGCGTGNCTTCTCCACATGTTTTTTTTTTTGGCGGCATTAGATGGACCGCCGGTAGATGGGAGGAATCTATCCATACCAACACCCAGTTACAGCTGCACAAGCAGACTGCTCGCTACTTGTGCTGTCTGTGCGTCGATACTTCTGCACTCACTGTGGTGCGTGGTGCGTGCAAAGAGCGGCCCGCAGGACACTAAAAGGGGGTACGCGGCAGAAAAAAGGGATTTACCCCATCATCGTATATTCCGCCGGGCCCCCTGGTGCTCAGAAATAAGGTTTCCTTAAAGCGGGGAGTTTCCTTAAGACCAATAACCAGAAACGGGTATACCCGGGTACTTTATCACCACTTTAGGGTACAGTTAGAAATCAACACGCTTGCACCCCCAGGCTGTCAGCTGATTGGCCGAAAAACCATGGTACCCATTTCTGAAGAAAGCTCCATCAGGTACAACTTCCGCTGGAATTAGGACCCTCTGGTGTGACAGAAATTGGTTACTGGTGTACCCGGACGAAGTCAATTTTGTGCCCAGAAATGGTCATATAATCCCGGCGCCCGACGCTCTAGCATGAAACCCGCAGAATAAACCGTGTACCGCACATACCGTGTACCACACATACATAACCACAACCAAACCACCAACAACGCTCGGTTCATCGTTCATGGGCACCGCCTCCATAGGATACCGGCCCTTGTCTACAGAGGGTCGGGCTCGCTTGACGCGCGAGTACTTCGGTGTGGTACTGATCAGTAAAAGCACACAAGCGAGAGAGTGGCACAGAGAGAGAGAAAACGGGCACGACCTGCCTCGTGCATCATGCTTCCGAGGCACAGGACACACAGGACACAGACAGCGGTTTGCATGTGGGTAGCCTCGCAGTCTGCTCAGGGCCAGGTCATGGGTTCGAGTCCCGACAGAGTGAGTTTTTTCTCGCTAGTTAAATCCTGGTCTCCGTTGAAAGCGACGCGCTGCAAAGCTCGTTGTTAGTAAACTTGATCGACTTCATAACTCGCCAGGGAAGGGATTGCTGTACCCTTCTCGCGATAAAAATATCTTAGGCAGGAACCGCAGGAGGGGGTCCAACCCCCCCCTCCTATGTGACCCCGGTTGGGTCGTCTAGCTGGTAGAGGTGGAGGATAGGGGCCAGAGGGGCAGACGACAGAGTCCAATCATGGGAAGAAAAAAAAAATGTATTGGTTTCGCCGCGATCTACGGCGGATGCTGTCGGAGATTGGTGTCGTCTTGATTTCCAAGTGCACGCTGAAATGGTGATAATCTATCCGGATAGACAATACCCGTTTCTGGTTACTTCCTTAACGCGAGCGATCTTAAAGCGGGGTCGACTGTAACTGCTGCTGCTGTGGTCTGTAGAGAAGCAGCCTACAACGCATGCACAGAAGAATAATGCGAACAGCAGCGCCCGCACCTCGGTCTTGTATCCACTGTAGATAGAGACGCCTGCCGGCCGGTCGAACTCGAGGAGGGCCACCTTACGCCCCACCAGAGCAGCGAGAGGGCAGAGCCGGAAAACAACACGACCAAGAGGGAACACGGCGGATCACAAACAAACGTTACGTTGTCCACCTCTCCGTAGGTCTTGTTGCAAAACACACCTCTCGGCAGAAAAGTCACACGCAGGTGTCAAGCATATTTTCCCGCAGGGTACGCCGTGTTACAGGCTGGAGGGGACTTGCACTGATATGCTAACACGTGATCTACAGCAGTCTGTGATCTGTCGCGGACGAATTCAGACGCGGGCAGAATTTTTTCAGAAGACACTCAGCAGCCGCGCGTCCCTCTGGGTTTCGCACACACTGAACCGTACCTGTGACCTCAAGGCCAAGAACACGAGCAGCGCGACAACTGCTACCAACCCGCCCAGCGCCGCCCTTGGCCGCATCGTGTAGAGGCACGCGTATACGTCTGCGTGCTTGTGAGCGCGGCATACACCCGCACTCATGGTAATAGGGTGGGCTATCGAAGGGGGGCATCGCGAGGAAGATCTAAGTGAGCAAGCCAGTGCCGTTTACCCTTTCCTCGTCGCGCGTCTCCCCCCGTTGTTCTCCGCAAGCTCACATCTCCCACTGCCGCCGCTCTCTTTGCTCAGGACAGCTTCTCTACGCACAGTAGTGGTGTTAGTCACCTCTTGTTCGACTTCAACAGTTTTCCGGAGAATACGGGAGACATTGTCGCCAGAGACATCTCGGTACGTGGTTGCTGTGCAAAGCTGCGGCTGGCTCTTGCTGGGTGAGAGATGAGAGGCATGGAAAGATCTCCACCCGACCTTCAGGCAGCCGCCGCCGGTGTCTTGCTCGCCATCGGAGTGGCCGTGGCATTCTGGGTTATCGCGCGCCGCGGAAGGAAGAGCGTTACGTCCGCTCTGGCAGGCATTCGGTCTCTACGCGGCTTCGAGCCAGAGGAAGTCCTGAAGGATGAGGTACGGACGGCGCCGTGCGGTGCGACCTACAGCAGAGCATGGATTTTCTAAGGCCAACTCTCACGTATTGTCTGCATTTTGTCTGGAACCCACGGAATCAGGTGGGAATTCCCAGGCCAACAGAGAGCAGCTGCGATTTTTGAGATCAAACCTTATGGTCGGAATAGGGAAAACACTGGCTTGGAGTCGACACACCACCAAGACGGACGCTTGACAGACCATCAACTGACGGTTGGCACCTTTCGAACCACCACATATAGAATACACACATACGACAGACATCAACAGCGGCTGTGCCGTAGGATCGTGAGGGAGACATACTTACACCCACCTACCTCTGCTCTTTGTTGAGCAGCAGCACATGCATGCATACATTAATACATACATCATCAGTAATACATACATCATCAGCAGACAACAAAAAAGCGCATGTACTTGTAATTGATGAGGCATGCAGCAGCAGCGACAGAAAAGAAGGGCGTCCTCTTTGCCTCTACCAAATGCCTTCTTTCCATATATATACACACAATCCTCCTGTGGCTTGCTCGTGGACGACAGTAAGCAGGGGTTGTCGGTTGGTGGTTGCTGTGTAAGTATTCAAGATCCGATCTGTATCATCACGATACATATGGTGACATCTACCTAACACGGGTGCACCCGGGTGCGGTTCCAACAAACGTGCAATTGGTGCCGCGCGCGTGCAACAACGCTTGCACAACGACGTCAAACCCAAATCCCAGGAAAAGATCCGCCTGCGATTTGGGCTTCCAAATCGCAGATGGAACTGCGATTCCGGGGGAAATTCGATTTGAAATCGCAGATTTCCTGCAAATAACAGCACCATCAGGGTTGGTATGTCCTGTCGGCCTCACTACAAACCCAAATCTCAGCAATTGCAGACCTTCCATAAGAATTGGTCTAAGAATGGATTACAGCAAAGGATTTAAAGTTATGCGTAAATTTTACCCTGCGCGAATGGTCTACATTGCACATGTCTACCGTGTGGGTGAGCTTGGCAATCCAAACGTCAACGCACGCACGCGCTGGACGTTCCCTTCAACGTATCACCCTCTCATCCACCACCACGGATACTACATGTGGTCTCAAACTACAGTACTACTTGCTCGCCTTTTGGGCAGGTCGCATCCACCCTTCTCACCCCCCCTCACACCTCCCCCCTTGGCTAGCGAAAACTCGGCATATCGCCCCGTCCCGGCATTGTAGGGATGCAAAGTCTATGGTCTACATGCGCTTACACGAGTACCACCTGCCCCCGTTCTGCGCACCGCCTCAATATCTTCCATCGCCTGCATCGCTAAATTCGCCCGCCCGAGAATAGGACGACGGCCGTGTGGTCACTTTTCTGGGCCGTTTCGCATGGCAGAAGGAAGGCGAGGTTGCCCTTGTCAAGCTTATCGCCAAGCCGCTGTCGTTGAGCGGTGAGTCTCGTCGCAACTCTGTTCCAGTTATGTAGCAGTGCCTGCCTTGGCTACACCACATGGCATGGTTGTTCATGTCTACTTCGCTTGGCTCGGTGCGTGCTGCATATGGCACCTACCGAAGCGCATAGATATACACACGCAGACTTTGCTGTTCGTGTGGCAAACAATATAACGATAGCATATGGTGAGGGAAGAGGCTCAAGTCCTTGGTGGTCACGTGCACGCGCAACGTAGCTACCGCTCAGCTTGAACCCACCAGAACATCGTTCCCGCTTGGCCTAGCCCGTATTGCGCTTTAGCGGAAGGTAACCAGCCACCGCCGCCGTCTCTGAAGTGCTGCACCCACCGTAAACTCTCTTTTGTTGTTGATCGTCAACACCACCCCGCCGCCGCTCAACGGCAACAACAACGACAGGGCTCAAGGACAACCTTAGTCGGCTGAGTATCCGGCTGAAGAGCGACAGCGGCGCCGAGTACTCCTTCTACGACTGCTCCTTGTCGCTGTGGTACACCTTCCTGCGCGGCCTCGAAGGTACTACTGTTGGTCACCATCTATGTATCCGTTCTCCGAAGAAGTCTGGTACATGAACAACCCTCAACGATATGGCGGTCAGTCTACTGGCAGCTGTCGAAGGGTGTGAATCCACTATTCCTGCATTTTATCACATGATGCGGCATGACTATGCGGGCAATTTTTTCCGATGGGCGAGGCGAACACATGCTCGTGCTGGTGGTACACATCTTCACGCGATTGTTGGTGCTTCGACCAAGGTGCCTTGCGTTTTTAAAAACCAAGCGGTTGCAACCAGCACGGTGCAGCAACAGCGGCAGACCATGCTCCTCTGCGGATTAGATGGGAGCACCTCGTGCATCGCAACCAGACCCAAATGAGTCTCATGTGTTGTGGTGATGTGCATATACATGCGTCTTGAACACGAGGATGCGGAAGACGACGGTAAAGACCTCCCACATCGCCACAGTTATTTGCTCCGTCAGTGATGTGGTATCCGTGCCTGTGGCTGGTTTTCTAGTTACTACCGAATACCGAATCACCGCTTTTCTACGTCACGCTATTATCGCACCCACAAACTGTCCCGGGAGAAGGGACAACAACCCCCCCCCCGCCCACCCCTCCCCCCCGGTGTTTACTATCGGGGTTGGGTTTCCGTCGCCTGGCAACGACATTGTAAAACAAGCCGCTCCCCGGTGTTTGCCATCGGGGTTGGGTTTTCGTCGCTTGGCAACGACGTTGTAAAACAAGCCAAGTCACTTCGTGAACTCGGCAACCAGGTTACCTTTTTTTTTTTTTACCTCCGGTTTTTTTTTTGGGCGGTAACCATAATGATCGAGTGGATCATGTTGTGCGGGGTGGAGAACACTCGCTCCGCGCAAGGGGGATGATCGCACCACGTTGTGTTAAAATGGTCAAGCACCCTCGAGGCAGTTACACAGTGCTTACAACTGTCTCAGGAAGTGAAAGCACCAGAAAATAAATCAAGTCATACGCAGCTGTCATCCGTACGCAAGGAAGTAAGCACAAGATGCCGAAAACCCTTAGCAGGTTGCAGCGCACCCTTCATGCGACTCGCCGAATATCTCACGGCGCTTCGCGCTTAGTGATGTGAGAGCCTGGTCCGGTGAGAACCCGGCGTGCTCCGTCCCGGCTTTGTAGGGATGCGAGGTCAATGGTCTAACGACTACGGCATGCATGAATATGAGTACACCCCCCCCCACGCCCCCCGCCCACCGCCAGGAAACAGCTACTCGCTTGAGGTTGTGGCACCCGCCTCGGAGCGCACGGTCAACCGCAACCGTCCCGTGACTACCGCGATGCTCACGGAAACCGCCGAGATGCACGCCTCCGTAACCGGCCCGCATATGGACAGGATCGTGGGGGACGGCAAGTCCCTGTCCTGGCTGTTCAACGTGCTCTCCAAGGAAAAAGAGGCCGAGCGCGTTCTGTACGAGGACGAAGACCCGGTGTGTAGGCGTTGGGGGGAAAGTCGGCAGGCCGGGGGGGGGAGGGTATCTGCATGTTTTGGTTATTGCTTTTGTTCCTCGACAATTTATGCCTAGCACTTTCTCTCTTTGTTTCGTACCTCTCCCCCGTTCCATCCGCCTCGTTATCACCCCGAACTCCCTCCGCCGTCCGTCCTCGTCAGGAGCACGGGTTCCTCCTGAACATTGACACCAAATGGCGGACGCACCCCGACATCTCCACCACGCCTCGGCATGAGTGGGAGGGACACCCAAGCGTGGGGGAGCTATACTGCTTGGCCATCAGCCACCAGCGAGGCATCCGGACGCTGAGAGACCTTCGCGCGAAGCACGTTCCCATGCTCAAGGAGATTTACGGGTAAGATCTGGATTTTGAGGCGTTGTTTGGTGGGTGGGGAGGTTTTAGTGGTGCGCCGCGCGGTCGCTTGCCCTTTGCACTTGTCTTGGACTCGACGCCTTCCGCTGGTGTATTCTCGTTCCGACGGCATTGCTTGGCGGTAATGCTTCTCTCCGCCGTGAGACTCAAGCGCGGTGATGACGTGCGATAGGATTTTTCTCGGTCCTTTGTGTTGATGATGTTGCGAGACCCGCGAACTTCATTTTTTTTGGCGGTGTCGACGATGGGATGGTGCGTAGTTGTAAGACTGGACACACAACCCTCTCTTGTCTCTTTTATCGTTCCTTTTCTTACCGGCAATTCACCACCCCGCATGCCTTACCACCGTGCACCGCCGACCTTGATTGATCCAGGCGCGGTGTGGAAACTATCGAGGCGGTCTACGGGGTGCCCGAGGACCAGTTGCGAGTGTTCGTGCACTACATGCCGCAGTTCTTTCATTTCCACGTGCACTTTACCAGGCGAGTAGTGTAATGTAGTACGCCGTCATCGTTTATTCCCCGGCAGTTGGTGGGAGAAACATAGCTGTGGGTGCACACCCTGCTTTCGTGCTTGATTCTGTTGCTGGGCTGCAAGGATTTTGTTGAGGACTCCTACCGGCTGGCCGATGAGGCTGGGTTGAGTGTTTTGTGTGTTTCGCGGCACGTTCAAGTACGAACAGGCTGTTTTGTCGAGCCGTGCTTGAAACGTATCGAACAATCGACCGTTGCGGACTGGAGGTATTGAGTCTGAACCTCACACCGCTTCCCGTCGTTGTCCCCTTTCGCCTGCGTCGCCCTCCCACTGCCGCCGCCGCCGCCACTGCCGCTGCTGCTGCTGCTCAGGTTACACAACACAATCGGGGTGGAGGCGGAGCGAGCCCACCTACTTGTAGACATCATCCAAAACCTCGAGAGAGACAGCTACTTTTACGAGACGCGTACGATGCAGTTCGGGGTCCGCGAGAACGACGCCCTCCACACGGCCTTCAAGAACGCGGGCGAGGCTTGAACCTATTCTAGTTGTTGCCTTTACAGGTCAGCTTGACATGGCCGCTGCCCTTGTGTTGTGTGTGTGACGGAATGAGCTTGTGTTCCTGGTTTACGTTGTGTGTGTGCTTATCCCATCTAGTCTACGCTTTCGGTGCGTTTGTTTAGCGTGTCAGATGGGAGTCATGCAGGTTTCCTTTCATTATGTTTATTGTGCCTCACCGCCTGAGGTGCTAGCCTTGTTTAGTTGCTAGGAGGGTTGAACCATCCCATTCCCTCATCGATCGTGAAGTCTAAGTGTTCGTTCTCACGATTTACCCGTGTTCCACCACGAAGTGCAATATTGTTTGCCCACTGCAGGGAGAAAAAATCGAACTCTAACCTGCTATCGGTATTGGGTTGGAGGTTAACCATTAGACTACCGGGGCGACTTTGATTTGGCACACTTTTGTTGCCCTGGTAGCGGTGAACCTTGTATGATGAGAGCAATCCGGGGGGCGATGACGAGTCCGCTTGGCTGCCGAACCAGATGATGCTTCATGTCGAATCAATATCTCGTTCGTCATACGGAGATGACTCGTCCTGAGCTCTCTGGTTCGCTCTTTTCGTGTCCGGTTTGCCGCGGCCATGGCATCTTTGCCAAGCGCAGCTCTTTCGTCGGTGGCATGCAACCCGTTCGCCCCGGTAGTGTAGTTGATACCCTCGAAAACCTTCTTGTGGTCAGGGTCAGGCGTTCGAATCCCGGCTCAAGCGAGCTTTTCCTGCAGAGTGAGTTTTTCTCTCGCTTCCGTGCATCGCCTGGGTGGAAAGCGCTAGTTCGTGTTTGTTGTTGTTGTTGTTTCTCACATTAGCTCTATAGTCCACAAAAATGGGGAGCCCGTGGTCTCAAAACCCGGCACATACGACGCTGCGAGAAAAGAAAACAACAAAAATAGGGTACAAACCACTTGGAAAAGAAAACAAAATGTGTACACAGAGGGAAGGCAGTGCTGCACTCTAGTCGCATTAAAAGTCGAAGGAAGAGTACATCAGGAGGGTTGGGTGGGGGGACTCAGGGAGAAACCCTTCTGTGTGAACACGGTTTGGGGCAAACGGTACAAGCGTTGTGAGCGCTGATTTGAAGTGAACAAAAAAAAAAATGCGTGCGGAAACATTCCTTTTGCCTGAATTTGTCTTACCCGTCGTTAAATGTTCGAAATACCTCTTGAGTTGCTCCTTTTACCCACTTCCTTGCTGACTTGGTGTAGGAACAACCATGGTCTTGGTGCAGGGGCGGAACTCACCTAAGCTCTCTTCCAGGCAGCAGAATTCTTACCTTGTGGAGAGAGCAAAGCACACACCTTGCGTTCATGGTTTCATTCTCCGCTACAACGATTTTCCTTTTTTTAATTAGCACGCACTGCGAACAGACACATGACGGTGATCAGGTTAATGACAGCTCGCGGTGCCGGTCATAGGGGAAAGAGGAGTAACGTTCAAAGTATGGCCAGTACAAAATGTGGCCAGCAGGGGAGGTTCCCATTAACATGAGCACGTTAGCAAGCGTGAAAGCTTTCCATTCAAGGCAGGTTTGCTCTGAAAACACGCTGTTAGTTTGGTCAGCTTTGGTCGTGTCCAGGTTCATTCTCTGTCGGTGGAGAGACATCCGAGAGCAAACCCTGCGCGGAGGGGCAAGCAATCGTCTACAGCCGATCCGCGCGACTTGTTGACTTCATTCAATCAATATCCATCTGGTGAAACCGGTCCAAAGACTGCATATGACGTGAAGCAACACTGATCTGCTTTCTTATCCCGGGGAGGGGGTTTCTTCCTATATGTCTGTCGATGTTGTCATTCCTCCAAATCCTAATGACAAAATAATGCTGGGCTCAAGTCAAGAACAACCGCCCACGGTGATACTTCTGAAAGTATTGGTACCACGCCTGTCTTTCTTTTGGTCAAGAATATATACACCTCCGTGCCGTGATGTTCTCGCCGGCAAGCCAAAAGAACTAACGACGCTGACTTACATCGAGCAACCCCCCCGTAGAACATAAAGACCACTCACAAACACGGACGGCTATACCCCCCCTTCTTTAGGCAAAGTAGGGAGGAACGATTGCCCATCGGTGATTTGGTCTTGTGGGAACAATCCTCCGTCCTCTCGAGGACGAGTGCTCAATAGTCCAACACCTAAGGCAAGCAAAACATGAACATTGTACCTCCCCCGCCCCCCGGCCAGACAAGCATATCAAACGAACATGAAGAATACAGCCCACAGCAGGATTGCAGCTCCAAAAGGCTACATGTGCAATAAATCAGCTTTCTCCCGCAAAAGGCATGGAGCCCAAAAGCTTTCTCCTCGTGCGGGGAACCTAAGATAAAAGAACAGCTGCAGTACACGATAGATCCCAGATAAATTACCCGCTCCAACGTGGCTGACCACGTATACAAGCACATCCAAGAGAAAGTAGCACAACCTTCAACCGCTTGTCACCTCGCTCTGGAAAAATGAGCATCCTCGTTCAAGAAGCTCAGCAACGACTCGTGGAACATGTCGGGTTCGTCGATGTAGCAAGGGTGGCTAGCGCCGGGGACCATCAACACGCGCGAACCAGGGATGGAGCTCAACAGCGAAGTTGCACTGGACCCCATTCTATCCAGCTCCCCGTAGACGATCAGAGCGGGCACCCCGGTTACTGCCGCAAAATCTTCGGCCGTGTGGGAGAGGGCCTGGCCCGGCGCGACAGGAACGTAGCCGGCGAACAGTTCCTGTCGAAAGGGGGGGGGGGGGGGGGGGGGGNGGGGGGGGGGGGGGGGGGGGGGGGGGGGGGGGGGGGGGGGGGGGGGGGGGGGGGGGGGGGGGGGGTCGCTGTTGAATACCCCAGTCATCTAACTTCTATAGCTGTTTACGACGTATCACGGATATAGGGCGGGTGGTGGAATAATAATATGGCGGGTGGTGTATTGAGCCCTAAGTGCAATGTCACACTATCTCCACGGTGCGGTGCGGTTGGTACCTGTGGAGACCGTAGGCTTCCATGTTTTGGGAAAATGAAAATTCTGTGCAAACGTGCATGAGATAATCGATTTAGTGAGGTTTGGTGCGGGTTCGATAAAAAAATAAATACCTACAGCAATAGCATTTCCGCGAAGGGAAAATTAAGTCCAAAGGGTGTCCACCCCACATGAGGCTTCCATCGCCCACGCAAGTGGGGAGCGGGAAAAGTTTGGTGCAAAAGTGCAAGGAGCAATAACATCGCTTGATCAGCTACAGCGTTGTCTGAAGTCGAAAGATCCTCCGCAACGGTCCACACATGGGTTTACTTCATCGAAGGCAATGGATTACGTCTTGGACCACATACAGCCATCAGCAGCGGGCACGAATAAAGGTTGCCCCGTTGCTGGTTGCCATTGTAACGGGGGAGCTCCATACCGGCTTGCGGAGAAGCAGCGGCACCGAAAAGGAGCCGCTCATGGACGGAGACACAATGACGGCTGGCGAATCGACTCCCATGCCGAGGCCGCTGCATATTTGCTCCAGAAGCTCGTCTCGCGGTGTAGTCCTGGACAGAAAAGTCGACCGTACAGACGTCAAAAGTCTATCAGTACTTATTTTCTACAGGTTACCCGCTGTTCGATTTCCTAGCCGCCTTGGGAAGGACCAAAACGTCAACGACGTCGTTCCATGTATCTGGGGGTTGATGATAACTTGAAAAAACTAACGACAAACACAAAAAACCACTACCAGAGGGGGCGTGATTTACGAACGTCCCGCGAGGGATACCACCAACACGAGACAGGCAGGCGCAGATGAGCAGGGACACAGGAGGCATAGAGTACGATGCTCAGCGTACTCTTCGTTGTGCGTCTTCAAAAGGTTATACTCCAAATCAATGGATTTTGTATTCCAATATTCCAAAACTTTATGGCGACCAAGGTTATATCACCAAAGTTGTGAATCTTACCCCCTACTGTAGCTGCACAAAAGTATCACCAAGCCACGAGCTAACTCCTGACAGCAGTAGCAACGAGTGCAGGAAGGGGTCGTCGATCAGACCCAACCAATCGACGGCACGAACACACCAAGCGACCGAGCAACCAATTGCTGTATGAACTCACTTTACCCGAGTGGGCAAGTTGACAGCAGCCACCCGGAACCCGTTGGTAGCCAAGAGCGAAAGGGTGCCCAAGTCCTGCCACGTCTGAGCCGAGAATTTGGCGCCGTGCAGCAACAGGACGTTGCGCACCGCGCCCGCCTCTTCCCCTGTTGGGCTGGAAGGAGAGCTCCCGAGGTTCCCCAAGAAGCTGACTTGGGTACCGACCACGTCGATCGATCCTTCCTGCAAAGTGGAGCAGCGCCGGGGAAGCGAGCAGAGTTCGACAGGCAGCAGCAACCAGTCATGCAGCAATGTTGATTGCGCCTTCGCAATACATGCCGTACAAGCAAGGCTGACTCCCAGAGTAAGCAACAGGGCCCATCAGCAACAGACTTGTCTGTTCAAGAGTCATCGTCGGTGAGCTGATGTGACATACCATCTCCTGAATCAGCCATTTTCCGCCCCCATCCCGGAACGTCGAAAGGGACAAGGTTAGGGTGCCCATTCTCCAGGGCACTCTTTGCCTTCGTGCTTCGACACCGCTCGGGTTGAGTGCAACGTGGGACTTCAGCGGCCGCCCTCGCCAACGTCACAGTCAGATTATCGCCGCACACAATCTAACAAGTCCGCAACAGCAGCGACCAGAAAATAACTACTTCGTACTTACCCAATTATATGGCTGCTGTCGTTGACTGCCAACTCAGCGGATTGAGTTGAAGTAAGAAATAGGCTGGCAGGCAAAGGCACAAAAACACACAAAACCAACACGCGGGAATTCCCTATTAGCAGCCCATGTAGGCACCACTGCGCCCGTGGACACTTCGGTGCCCATGGGTGCCTCATGGGCGGTTTAACAAAACTGTAGAAAGTGTGGGAGACCCGAAATACGACACTCTCTCGTTTGCCAATTTCTTATCGCAGCAGTCACAATTTTCCATTCCGCATCGGCTCTGTCGTTGAATCATCAACATCAAGACTTGCATCACGTGGAGAAGGAGGACCTCGTGTGGAGACGGGTTCAGGATGACGAGTCTAGAGTGGTTCAAGTCGTCATGGGTTCAATGACCACCGGCCGGAACAAAAACAGTACACCGTTGTTGACCCCTCCGCCTTGCCACTTTGTTACGGAGACTTGGAGGCACATGAAGCTTCGATACACAAGCCCGGCCTATGCGTGTTCTAGGCATAATCGCACACGCGGCTTTCGTGTGAGGATAAGAGTCGGCGCAGTCTGTGTGTGTTCCCGCTCAGCTTTGCCTACAAGCGGCTCCGCAAACACTCCAAATACTGCAGCCAGAGCCTCAGACCTATCATTTCTTCTTCTTCCTCTACAAGAAACGAGAGATGTGAGGATCATTGGCTGAACGATGGACTTGGACCCCGCGGATAGTGCTATTCTATGCACATGTATGATGGTACTGTAGTAGCGGTCATCACGCTGGTGTCGTTCTTCGTTGTTCACCTCAATCGTCTCCACCTGTACGTTTGCCTCGTCAATTCCACGAACCGAGCGCAGCGATAGCAAGCCCACCACAGCTGTAGTCACGAGCAAGATGCCTTTCCATCCGCGCTTCACCATTGGGTTGTATGTCCAGATGGGTATGTCAGATGATTTGGTCACTACGCTGGTACACCGCTGGCTGCACGATGCTGGACGATTAATTCCTCCGCATGGGGCTCCGCAGATGTTTCCGTGGAGTTCCCCTACCCTGCCCGTGATCCTTTGTCTAAATTGTATGCCCCCCCCCACCAGATCTGACAAGATCTGAAATCTGACAATCTGACTGATTTCTTGTGCTGTTGCCTGTTGCGGCCATGGTCCCATGAATTGCAAGTCCAGAACTACTGCCTGTAAGTGCTGCTGCGTGGGCCTTAGCAGGCGAAGCACTTCCCTTGGCTGGCTGTCTACGATGATTGACCAATTTTTTTAAAGGAACGTTCCAAAGAAAGGCGAAAATTCCGTGGTCGATCGGTGACGTCACCCACGGTCACGAGATTAAAAAAAAACAATTTTTGCCGTGGATGACTGACTAATGACCTCACACGGCAGCCAAGGGATATCATCCATCATCGTCCCTCAAAAATAAACAGATTTCCCACCATCATCACCACTGCTGATGATGACGACACATACGATCGATCGCAGGATCTCCTCATCAAGGCTCAGATGTGCTCTACACGACAATTAGAAGTAGCTTACCATACATTCTCTGGGCAGAACTCCCATTTTTTTCCTGTGCGACCATGGAAAAGGCGTCCGCGTCAGAAGTTGGACCGGTACGGATCTTACAAGGTACTGAGCACAGACCGGTACGGTTTTCAATGTGAAGACAACAATGACTACAAGAACACAAAAAACACTGCATAATGTCGACGTGTATGCGACTACTTACTGCTGCTGTACGTGGCGGCGATAAATATCATACATTCCACAACGAATGCCACCACAAATATATATATATGCACTTTACACCTCAACCCCGTTTGAAACAAGGCCGGCGAATCATTTTTCGCGTATGCATATCAACAGCGCTAATTTGCACAGCCCGAGGAATACCCAAACACGACACAAAACGTTCCTTTGTGACCGACATGCATGTCACGTGGTGTCGTTGAAAACCATCAAGAAGAGAGCTCGCTGGACATTCTACAAAGACAGATGAATACCGTCGGGACCAAGATCAACACCGGCACCTTACCCAACCGGACACATCTCCTTGTAGATGACGCTAAGGAGTTGAAGCTTCCGAGCCCACGTAAATTCACACGACGTTATGTTGCGTGCGAGTCACAGCAGAATAAATATTGTCGGCCTCTTTTTATCCCCCACGAGAACTCATGCCGGAGGTAGGGATAAGCTCTTGCATTAGCTTGGCACCCGCGTCGCCGCTGATGAGCTTCCGTCCCTTTGCCGCCATGGATTTCATCACCTGCCCGAGGAACACCACCACCACAGTGTTTCGCGCTTTCAAATATTTATTCCTCTCTCTGTGGTTGTTGATGTATCTGTCTGTATGATGATGTTCTGTTTCCAATGATGAACTGTTCAACGTGCGTGTGGCGGCGCCATCATCTAGGACGAACAATAGTGATTTAGGCGTGTACATCCGCCCATTCCCCCGACAAGGGGTCAGATTGTACTTCTTCGACCATCCGACAACTTTGTTGCGGAGCATGGGTATGTCGCACATACATGCGGCGTGCGATACTTGGCGTCAAGCATTTATATATACGCGATGGTAGCCACAACGGCACATGGGCCCGGAATGGTTTCACACCTCGAGACGCTTCCACTCCAACTCGAACTTCCTCTTCTCGGCGAGACTAGCTACGGCCTTCATCTCGGCCTCGGCCTCTGCCACCATCCCCTTGGCCTTGTTAGAGGCGGCGGCGAGAGCTGCCTTGGATGCGAGGATTGCCACTTCAGCCGCTTCTTCCGCTCTCGTCCTGCCGGTTTATTAGGAACGGTTGCGTTTGTTTGTGGAAAGTACGACGCTCACAAGAAGCTTGGTTTCGCCGAGGCGCCCTCTTCCACCATGTACAACCCTGTGTCTCTGAACCTGTGGGTGGGAAATGCCAATAATTTCGATTCGCACACACCCATGTAGGACCAGAGCAATCGTTGCGTTCTGACGACAACCCGAAAGCATGTAGCGGACGAAACAAGTAAGCACCCAGTGATGTGGCCCATGGCAACCCATCGCACGATCTCGGAAAAAGGGGCTTCCAGCAAAAGGCTTATCATCCCACCAAATCGCATCATACCTGGCGGCCTCGGACTCTATTTCGGCACGGCGGACGCGGGCCTCGGCCTCCTTCTGAGCGTCGATCTTGGCCGCCTCCTCGCTACCTCGGGCGCGCGTGATCTGATTATCCATATCGTCCGAACAACATAGGCGGGGCATGCCCGGCCGGGGGTGGGGTGGGGATACGGCTGGCGGCAACACGTGTTGTTACGCATGGGGAGCACGTTTGTTCGTGATCTGATGGCTTTTCCCGCGAAGTTAAGCAAAAATGCAAGAGCCAGCCCGCGGTTTGAGAGGGTGGAAACAATCAAACCGTGTTGTGCGAGATGCGTCAACTCCTGTGTGAGACCGGGAGGTAACAGCCCACAAGGATTAGCCTCCCTCGTGATGAAGTTAGGAGATACATTTCTTCAAGCTAAACAAGTCTGTGTTCGTATAGTGGCTTTGTGTTAGGTCCGTGTTGGCATACGGTAGTATTCGTACCATCTTGTTGGCCGAACTGATGTTTACACAGATGGAGGCTGTGCACCAATCAGAAGAGTGGCGACGACGACCAAACGAAGAACGGGCTTCGCGTGATGTTCACTACTTCGAATGACGCTATTTTTTTCATTACGCCTCCTTGGTCTAGCCCCACTCGTGGCCGTTGAACCACCGTCACGAACGAGTCAACGATCACAAAACCCCGCACCTCGACTTCGGCCTTCGAGCGAGCGTTCGTCTCGTTAACGATGGCCTTCCCTCGCGCCAGCTGCGCTCGCGTGCACCAGAGATTTTTTTTTGCATGCCGAAAGGAAAAACGCATCCCGCCCATCCCGGCATCGTCGTTGGATAGAAGGGGGGGGGGGGGGGGNGGGGGGGGGGGGGGGGGGGGGGGGGGGGGGGGGGGGGGGGGGGGGGGGGCGTGTCAGCTAGACGTGACGAAATCAGACATGCCGTAACGGTTTTCTGCTTGGGCTGTTCTTTTCTGGCATGTGTATGTTCGTGTGTGTGGATATCGAGTGTATTAATGTGTATATAGTGGAGGGGGGAAGCAAAACGCGCGAGAATCGGCAGTGCACGGCAACGGTGCTCTTTTGTTTCTCCAAAGCTGCCACTACTCCCTATTCGTCGCCGACACAAAACATCCTTTCCGATACGTACGCACTGGAGGGCTGGTACCCCCAAGTGCAAGCTACTCTAGCCCACTCATCCCTCTTGGACCGGAGTATCTCGGAGTATGTGGGCGTTTCACATGCAGTCCACATGCTACCGATATTGGCCGTAAATAACGCCGTTGTGGTAGACAGGAATACAGGGCGTCATCTTGCGAATGGTGGGCCACACAGGTGTCCACGGTAAAATACTACGACTGCTATGGCCGGAAAATAGTCTAGAAACGCCTGACCAACCTCTTCCATTTCCCTCATTTCTATCTCGAAGCGTTGGATCTCGGCGTTCAGCTCCTGGAGCCTGCGGAGGTTGGTTTGTCTTAGGGTGGTCATCTCCTGCAACGCTGTGTCCCTGATCACCGTCAGGCGGTTCTCGTGCGCTTTCTCGCTGGTGACGGGCGGCCCGACGCGCCACCATGCATTAAGAACCAGGACGATCGGGCAAACGTGTTTCAAACTTTAGAAGAAGGTCAAGGGATACGGGTGGTGGGTTTCGAGATGGATCAACCCAGATGCTTTCCAGAAGTGTAACAACGTAGAGTCTGGACCTCCTACGGCTAGGGTTGAAAACGTGACCGAGGCGAGAGCCGAGGAATCGATAAAGAATCTCTCAGGATGCTGTAACAGGCGGTCGGCAAAAACACGAAGAATGGTTGTGCAAGGCCTACCAAGCGCGCGGACAGTGGCGGTCTCACAATACCGTCTTTCTGTGACTCAACCATGACGTCAAAAACGGCCGGCACAGAACAATACTTGTGTCCCCGACAACTGAAAAAGATATGTGAGTCTTGATTGACTACCGGCGGATCTATCGTTGCTTTTTGCGTCTTCTCACTGTTCTTCTATCTTGGTCTTATATGCCGTCGTTCTCTCCAGCCGCTCCTGCAGTTGCGACGGCAGGGCCACGTCCGTGATCTTGACCTATGCCCCGAACAAACGAAACGGCAGCAGTGTTGGTTTGCTCTAAAGTTGTGGACGAGAGCAAGAGGTAGATGCCCTGTCCGTTCAACATCCGTCAGCAATGCTTGGAACCGGTCATCGGAGAGTGGATGAAGTATTGAGACAAAACGTGGCTTGTCTGTCCCCCCACAGGTGTAGGAAGAAGGGGTGCCTTACGCCGAAAGAGTCATGCTGTAGATGGGTAGTACATTCAGACCCTGTTTTTCTCACTCGAGTTCCTCACTTGTGGGACCTGCCTAGTCTATATGGTTGCAACATTATTTACGAAATATGACCGCCGATCTGCCGAGCCTATGGGATTGCTTGTCGTATTGGACCTGCACTTTCGTCAACGTAGTTTATTTGCTTATACATTGAGGTTCTCGCTTTTGACATCTCAGAAGAGTTTTCTGAAACCCCTATCATCATGGGTAAAATTGAAACTATTCGAGAGTTGAGTCACATGTAGCTCGCGACGACAATCAATCGCAGTACCACAAGCACCACCCTCACAGCAACCATGACAACACGCACATTCATAACTTGCACCCCGTACATGCTGAGGACGGCCCGCAGTGCATCCAGCATTTCTCCCGCAAATTCCTCCCGCAAGTCGTTCACCTGAATTGTGCATGTTAAAATCAGCAACTCACTACTGTGACGTGTTTTCTACGTAGGGTTTGAAGGTCCTGTTTGGGCGGGCCAATCGCCTTAGACCTTTCCGTATCGCGAATTTGTTAACGTTTGGATGGCTACGGTTGAAGCAATATCGTCGTGTACGTGACAGAAGGCTTTGCTAAG